TGTGTGGGGGGGGTGTGATGCAGGGCGCTCGACTTTTCGCTTTTTGCTGCACATCATGGTCGTCGTCGTCGTCGTCATCGTCGTGAAACGAGCGTACGGGTTTGCCTATCTTCCCATCAAAGCATTAAAAAAGCACAGGCAAATGTATTTTTACAAGTAATGTCCTCAAAAATTACCGACTATAAAATCAAAATAAGGATTTCTTGTGGATTTTGAAAAAAACATAATTATGACTTCCAAACATACAAAATTAACTATTGAATATTTTTGATAAAATTGTTATTGAAAACACACATTTCATCTTTCTCCTTTTTAAATTCGAGTTTGACAAAATAAGGTTTCGCGAGCGCATGTGAAAGGCGCTCGTACTCTTTCAAGCTTATGAAAGTTCGTATAAGAACGTTCCATGTATTTTATGTATATGTAACATCCCATGTATTACACGTGAGATATACTTTATGGCTACAGAATGCGGTGAAAGCAGCTGAAATGCGCAAAGATAGGCGCCGAAATTTTCCATTGATCTCAATGACACACAAATCGTAAATTATGTATAATTTTGAGAGACAAAGTATGGGAAGGCTTTAACAAAAAATTTTCAGACAAAAATTTTCAGATTAAAAGACAAAGGATTAATCATTTCTATAAAATTAAAATTTATATATGCGAAAATATCTAAAATTAAAATATATAAATTCACTGATTTTTGAAGGGAGAAAAATTTAAAATAACACAAAGTAAAGAATTTATAAATTTAGAACTTTTTCAAATAAAAGATGTATTAATTTCTATGTATATGATGTTACAACAATTACAAAGATAAAAAACTATAATTTTTATGATCGATGAATTTATAGATAATTGATTTGTTGTTTTTATAAGTTATCAAGAAGAAATAGAAGCTGTATTGGAAATTAATGTTGTAAGAAATTGATGTTATTTTTATTACAAGACACTCTGCAAAATATAATTTTATTGCTTCAATATCAAGTCCAGAACAATTTGCAACTGGCTGACAAGTGGAGTTTTAAAACATTATTTAAAATGCTAATTAAAAGTCTGTTCATGATATCCCGCGTCATCATTTGTTAAATATACATCATGCGAGAAACTCGGTACGTCGACGTGGCATTCCTTTCAAGAACAAGCAAATATATATGTTTTAAATAAAAACTTTCCTAAATTTTATTTAAATTTTTAAACATTATATTGCGTTATATACATAGACGCATATAATGTAAGCAGTTAGCATTTTGAATATAAATATGTTAACTTTAGTAATTAACTAAACTTGTCAGATTTCAAAAATTTCAAACTGTTGCTGTTTGCTACGTCTACAATATAGCCTACTTGTTTGTAATTCTGATTTATGGAGCTAGTTTGTTTTGTTTGTTGAAGAAAGTAAGTAGTTTAGAAGAAGAAAAGAAAAAATAAAATTATTTTATTTTCTTACAATCATTTTATTTCTTGATAAAATCTATGTTAAAATATGCTATAATAGTGATAAATAATTGGAATAATAATTAAATTAAAATTAAATTATCTGCAAATAAAAAAATAAAATTTTGATTTAGAGCATAAAAATGTTACATTAAAAATTTTTATAATTGCGCAACATAATTCTTTTAAATAATTTATGTTAATTATATTTTGTGTTATACATATCATGCGTATAGATATTATGTCTCTCTAATGAAAAGCACATACTTTTTCGTAGAATTACATAATATTATAAAAATTATTATATAATAATTATAAAAAAGATAATTAATCATAATTAGTTATAATCTTAACAAAACTATATACATATAGCGATTCTAATAGTTTAATTAATTTGTAAAATACATAATTGATTCAAGCACATTCTCTATATTAGGTAATAGTTTGATGACGATATTATTATTTCATTTCCACCGCGTCCATTTCATTATTATTATTCTATTTCGGTATCTACATATATACTATACATATATCGGACATGTAAATTTTATTTTATAAAATTTAGTTGAAAGCGAACCTTAATTGATCGGGTATCGTTATTCAAATGCTTTCCGGAAATTTTGTTGTAGTAGTTAGCGAATTCGATGTACATATCTCGGTCAGCCGCATTTACATACCAATACATACGTAAAATATTCCATAAATAATTCATCGAAAGATGAATTCTGTTGCACGTAAGCGACTTTTTTTGAGCCGGTCGCCGTGACTGATTAAACACTCGCAGTTTAATATTCCGACTTCGAGTAGCATTCAAGTCGAAACTGATAAAAAAAAGAAAGTATAATGGCTATCCAGTTTGACCAGTGCGACATCCACTTTGCGAAACGACCACGAAATCCTTCTCCGCGTAGGAAGGAAACGCATTGCAACGCTTGGATGCGCTTCGCAGCGGTGGCGCGATGACATCAGTGATAAACGACGAGATCAGGATGACGTGTAACATGAGGTGCGGCGGCCGAGAGACGGCGAGCGAAATTAAAGAGCGATAGATGGATAAGCGGGACCGATATATAAAAGGCAAGAAAGAGCTTGCATGGAAGAGGCACGAAGAGAACAAACCGAAGGAAGAATCGGAAAAACCGAGAACAACTCCGCTTGACGAAGTGAACAAAATCGAATGAAATCCCAAGGGACGAAAATCAAATGCGCTTTTACAATATGTGTTCTTTATCACTTCTGAAATTGTTTTACAAGTTTCTTTTCTACATTGACATCGCATTTTACTAAAAATAGCTACTTGAATTCGAAATTTAATTTACTATGGACTGTGAATATAATGTGCGCAATCGCATTATGAATATTTAAATATTTCAATAGTTATTATAGAATAGTTATTATATCATGTTCATGTGTGTGAAAATATATTAATTTAAAAGGTATGTCCTCTGAAAATTTCAAAAAATCGATTTTTAATTTTTTGCATTTTTTTGAAGTTTTAAGTTTAAGTTTTTTTTTGAAGTTTTTTGAAATTTTAAGAAGATTTTAAACCGAACTTGATATCAAAATTCTAAAAATTGACCAAGTTATTTAAATTTATAGGAAAGGTCAAGCTATCACGCAACTAACAAGTCACGAATCGTAATCGAAAAGCACCTAAATGTTATTTATTGCATTTTCAAAGAATTATTGAACACTCTTGCAAAGATTCGAGTGTAACTACTATATACTGTAAACTAAAATTAAAAGTTTCGAAACAGTTGTTTGTTAGATATGTATATTTAACTTTTTGTAAATTATATTGAAAAACGAAAGTCTAAAATTACAAAAATATCATTATTCATACACTTGGATCAAAAAGGAAAAAAATAGAAATACATAAAATTAAGGTTAACAATGTAATTTGCTCAAAGATCAATGCGGATTGCACTACTGCAGAATTTTGGACACAATGCGAGAGACTCGATAACATCATAGGGTTTTGTTAAAAGAAGCTGAAGATGTGCTTTTGGAAATAGAAAGCGAATAGAAATAGTAACTTTATGCTGCTGGAAAGCTAGAGCTAAGATAAAAAAATTCCATTTTATTGTACACAAAATTATTTCTTTTTCTCTTAAAATCATATTTTTCGAATTGGATGGCAGTATTTCTTTGGAACTAATAGTTCGATTAACTTCAAATTTGACATGAATATTTTTAAGAAGATTATCTATAATAGAGTATTTTCGATATGTTAATTTATTTGCTAATAGCTTTTTGAATTTTGATTTTTAAAAAAATGTTGCTTTTCAAATTAAATCCATTTTCACACTTCTCAATCCAAAAGAAAAATGTTACGCTACATTTTAACTATTATATTTATTTATAAGAAAATATTTTACTTTTTGATTTGAGATTACCCCTTTTTTCAAAATTTTCCACTCTGGCCGTGATAGAAAAGCTTTGCGGAAAGGTCACAATCTGCATTTTTTTTTATCAATGTCTTTAATAAGTGATAAATTTGTGATTTAAATATTGTATAACATAAATCCCTAAAATACAAATTAATTCTACGCAATAGTTATTTTTTAAAAAAATCTTGAATTTATGCTTATTTTAAACCCTGTCAGATTAGGCTAATCTTTTAAGAGATTTCAATCTAGATTTAAAAAGAATTTATCTTCATTTGGATAGTTTACATCATATTGGAAAGATAAAATGGTTTACCTAGCGAACTTTAACGAAGTTTTGATCATGTTTCTAATAGATTCTGATGTGATGAATAGATTGGTAAAATAACAGTTCTCCCTTAAAGATAAAGTTTATTCCTTAATTTAGATTTCACGAGAACGATATATTTCTTTATTGAACTTGTGTTATGAACGCTGCATTCGCATGTGTGATGAACGGAATCTCGTCAAAATCAGAGCGCAAGTCTTGTATTCTTTGTATCGGTAACTGCGAGAGAAAGAGGGATGACTGAATGACAGAAGAGGGAAGAAGGGAAAAAAAAAACGAAAAGACGCAACGATGCGCGGAGGTGCGGAAGATGGGGCTGAAAGGGAACACCCGACCTGATAGGTGAGTGAGAAAGGTACAGCGAGCCGAGCAAGCCGCAGACACCGTGATACGTCACCTGGTGGAATAAGGATGAAGATATTAGCGTAGTATATAAGCGTGGAAAGGACGAAGCGGAGCAAGCGTGGCGGCGAGAGAGAAAGCGGGAAGAGAATCGGGTCGGAGCAAGACGCACCATTCCGGGATGTAACCATGAAGAGGACAGAGATGTAGAACAGGCAACTGAGAAGAGATAGGAGAGCGCGATGCGAGGTGAAACGAACGAGGAAAGACAGTAAGAGTAGGACCGAGCGAGAAATCGCGAGCGGTACCGAGAGGTGCAGAGAGAGAAAAGGAACTTTCCCGAGGTAGAGAGACCTACATATTCCGTGAGGCCAATGAGACGGCGCAATGTGGCGGCATGGACTCTCCGTCCTCCTCTGGTCCCGCTGGTCTCGGTCTCTCCGTCCCGACTACGGCGCCGTCGCTCTGGGACGGTGGGGACAAGCGGGGATCCAAAGGCGGCTCGTCGGCGTAGAACGCTGCGAGAATTCAGTTGCTCACGAGCATCCGCCGACTGACGAACATGGTCTCTCACACGTCGAACAGCGCGAGTGCCGTGCTCGCGATGTGCCGTTACGCTATCTTCCTCGTGGTGGCAATCGTGGCTCTTAGTAGAGCCGACAATGCCGAAAATGGTCTGAAGGTGGAGAAGCTCTATATGCCCGAAGTATGCGACGTCAGGTCGAAGAAGGGCGACCAGCTGACCATGCACTACACTGGCACGCTTCAGGACGGCAGCAAGTTTGACTCAAGGTCAGTGATAGCACGCGAAAGGTCGGACGAGTGACCGCGACGAGGAAATCCGCTGAATTTGAACAGATTGGCGTGTAAGAGATGTGTGAGATCGAACGATTTTCTTGATTACTTGTTTATTAACAGAATTGCGTTCGTAGTGGAGGAACGTTAAAACAGAAGAGAGTGGAGAACGTCTGTGTTCCAAGAACACGATGACGCTGACGTCATACATTAGTGACAAGAACTGGGTTAATATGTTTGACAAATATGACAAGTCTCCTTAGTGTCATAGAGCAATACAGTATTCTGCGTGTTGTCAAGTTCGATATTTTTTTGATAAATTATTTACACAAGCTATACTTAGGTTAATTTAATAAAATAAAGTTTTTAAATAATATAAATAAAAATAAATGCGAAACACGCGTTGTATCACACAGCAACTGCACAAGTGGAATAAAAGTGAACTGATGAAAAGGAGCAGCTGATGTTGTGCTTCTAAAAAAGGCAGATTAATTCCACTGAGTTTTAAATTCTTTTAGTGTGATATACTCTGGCATTACAAATAATGTTTGATCTAATAGAAAGTACTAATTCTGGTTAATAAAAGATGAAAAATCAGAAATTCTTGGACTAAAATAATTATGAAAATAATTGTGGTTTTATTACGTGTAAGAGCAAAGAAATTAAATACAGCAAAATTAGGTACAGCAAAAAATTATAAGTACATTGACAATAAAAGTATGTATGTAGTTGAATAATTACTTTTGCTTTGTATTGACGTGATATACTATCAAATATTTTTTCATTTTTTATCTATCTGATTATTTTGAAAAAGTTCGAGAAATTTATCATATATTCAATTAAAACAGTATTCATAAAAAAAATAGAGTTTGGAAAATTATCAGAGAGAGTTAAATAGCAAAAAGGAGAGATTCTTTATTTTTTTAATTTATTTAATCTATTTTTTAAATATATAAATCTAATAATAATTATTATATTTTGAATAACTATAGTTAAAATTATGAAATTTTAAACGAGTGTATTAATTCCAAAACGTTTCGATAAGAAAGTAAAGAATCAATTTTAAATTTTATTAAAATTAAAGAATTTTTTCGATTTAATTCATTTAAAATATTTTAATTTTAATTATAGCATGAAGAAAAAGAATAAATACACAGCGTAGCTTAAAATAAAAATGCAAGAATGTCAAAAAAATTAATGTGAAAACATTCTTGATTGTAAAATAGCATATTCAATGATAATATCAACCGTTGTGCAGAAAGAAAGAAAGAGAAGAAGAGATAATATAACGACTATCTCAGATGAAATTTCCAACGTGGACGTGCGTCATTGGAGGACAAAAAGATGACGAGTATACTCATCGTTTCTCCCACTGCGAGACTCGCTGTTCGAAAGTAACTTTTTAACATATAATGGGAAGAGCATAGACTCTTCTCAGCTATTTTGAAATCTTTGCTTTCACATGGAAATGTGTGACCAATGCAATAATGGCAAATAATAGTGGCAAATAACGGTAATAATTGCATGGAATGTAAGCTAAAATATGGATAACTAAAAGTATATCGTGTCTTATTCACTTTAAATGGATTATTATATATAAATATATATTTATATAAATCTAAGCGTATTAATCTAATCGCGTATTTTATATATATATATATATATTTATATATATTTATATTTATATAACAATTTGTACAGTGAAATTATACAGTGAAATTTTATAAAATACGTTTTGCATTTTTTTGCGGGGAACAAAAATTTAAAGAAAAATATGCATTTAACAAAAATATTTTTTTTTTAAAGATTTTCTTATAAAAGAAACATCTATTTTTTTTGTATCTTGAAGATTTAACGGGCGTGTAAGAACTGGCACGATAATCTGGTTTAAAAGCGATTTGTCAATATCTGGTACGATTACGTTCTCTGATAACCTATCTTTTGAACTTTCTTTAGCCACGTCGATTGTGCTCCAAATCGGATTTGGCACGAGAGCTGCGTTCTGTACGATATGCGTCTCGCAATTTTGTACGATTAACTGCTTGTATATTTTGGAGTGACAGTTCACTATCTAATCTATGATTGATAGATCAGATCGTTCTGATTCCAAGATATGATGAAAATTTCCTGTTGCTTTTAGTGCTAAATAATACAATTAAATTATATATGAAATAGAATTTGATTCTTTTTTATAGTTGAATTTATTCTCCTAAATGTAAAACATTTCTTATTTGAATAATATTTTTTATAGATGAATATTTGAATGCAAAATACCCAGTTTAGGACAATCCTAAAGTATAATGAATCGTTTATATATTCATATTTTGTGCAATAACTGTAGGATGAGATATTCTTATCTTACATTATTCCTTATGTAACGACAACTGTGGACATAATATTTTTTATAGTTGATTAAAGAACTTTGATTAAAAAATCATTATAAGCAAATATTTATTAATTGATTAGATTTGTGCAACAAAATGTATTTTTAGCATTAAGATATCACAGGTCATTCTTGATTTAACAGTGTTATCACACAAGTGATAGAATAATCTCTATATGATTGGAATGATTGAATTAAAAAAAACAATGTTATATCTAATAAGAGATTACTTTCCAACTTATTTGTAATACAATTTGAAAAAAAGATATCATGATTCATATATATAAACTTATTCTTCAGCTTTTCAGTTTGCGAAAAGCTAAATATATATATATATATACATATATAGATAACTGACCTGAGACTTTAATTTACAATATTTACTAAGTTTCACAAAATTGTTTAATAGTTTCTTTGAAATACAAAAACACAAAAGACGTTCAGGCAGATATGCTTTCCAATTACGATCTTCTCAGTCGCGCGACTAACTCAATTATCTTTCTATAACTTGAAATTTTTACGTTGAATTTAGCTTAAAACTTTTTCAAGACTTCAAACTTTAAGAAAATATAAAAAGCCAAACATTGTTCTTTTTTTTTTTTTCAGAGTGAACAGATTTCTTAACTAACCATTTCCAAGCTACCTTATGCACAAAATAAAATTTTATGCTTAATTTCTTTATTTTCTTTTCTTACACGCATATTAATACTTCATTGAAGTGATACGATGCGCAACGGTGTATAGCAATAATGAATAATGTATAGATTAATGCTTCGTTATACGCAGTTTGCGGCGTATTGTAATCTTTCTGTAAACACATATATAAATATTCTCTATTTTAGAATATTATAACTATGTCACAATACTTCATCAAATATTTTCGCATATATAGGTGATTAATATTTCAGCATGGAGAGCTTACGTACTCAACGTACAACATTACTATAACATTTCACACCGAAAGATAATACAACGGGCATATGTGTGTACATTATTATAATTATATTTCAATTCATAATGTTTAATACAGCATAATACCGCTTAGTTTCGAATGATAAATGCAGCGTAATGTAACGTAATATCAGCCTACGTGCTGACGAGATTCATTTTACCGATCTTGCGCAGAGTCCTCGTTAATGAAATTATCGAGTTCGCAACTCAATCAACTCAATAGCGGCACGAGACTAGAAAACTTTTTGATCTGGAAGTGTGCATGTCCTTTTCTTAAATAAATGAATTCCAACATTCTTATACTGTGTTAATAGATTCTATTCATTTTATTTATTACAATGGAATTCATCATGGAACTTGTTTTTTTCATATTTATCGTTAGTTAAGCAAACGATTGGTGAATATTTCAACGTGGAGAATGGTCGCTAATGAACGAATCGAGTTGACCTCTTTTCAGTGACCAAATTGTTTCTCGGCCCGTTACGGACACCGTTAATCGTACGTCGGACAACCCGCACCTGGAAAACATACTGTTGTACTTTAAGAAGTAAGAAAGAAATAGCGTAAAGCAAAGTTAACTTTAAAACTATTTTCTTTCCTCTACTATTAACTATTTTCTTTCCACTATTTTACATAAATTTCCACTTGTTAATATCTCACTATATTATGTTATTGTTATTGTTAGAATTACGGAGTAATTTCTATTTAATTTTATTACATTAATTTTTTTATGAGAATTGAAAGAGTTAGAAAATAAATCGAATTTACAAATTACGTATGTTTTGAATGTTGTATTCAAATATATATTTAATTAAATATAATATATAAAACGTTGAAAATTGAAATATATAATGAATTTTTGTTACAATTTTGTATTAAATAAAATATGTTTGCTAAACTAAACTATTTGAATATATCTTAATTAATTATAATATTCTATTTATCAAATTACTTGAATATGTTTTAATTAATAACAGCAATAATTTTATACGTTTAAAATTACAATAGTGATTAGTAACAGGTACAAACAAAAGAAAAAGTAATAACACAACAGAAACATTATTTATTTATATTTGCCGTGTATTAATTATCAAATTTGCGCTAAAACATTTTTCTATAAAACTATGCCACGCATCTTTTGTTAATGTGTTAATGAATTGTTATTTTTATTTAATTTCGGCAGAGCAAATTCTCTAGCATTTCTCTAGCAGAAATAAAAAATAAAATCGGAGATTCGTGTATAAGGCGTCACGTTTAAACCGCTAGTCTATCGAGAATTACCTCCATTTACCGATGCTCCACGTCGATTCGACTGTTTCTTGTCGAGAAGCATCGCAATCACCTGTTTATCGCCTCGCATTCCGCTCAACTCCCATTATCCTCTTCCATTCGTGCCGCCTCCACTCGCGAGAAAGCGAAGCACGTTAGCGAAAACGTTGACTCCATTTGGCACGAGTCTAGTTTGCCCTCGAGGTGGATTCAGCGGCGCCGGAGTTTTCTATCGGATCCATCTCAGCGGAACCGAGTCCTTACCTCGAGTAATTTTTGCACATCCCGACGAGACTTTAATGCACTTCGCGACGTTTCCATGCGAATTTTGTCTACTTCGTCACGTATATCGAATCCTTTTTTTCTTCGCAATGCGTAATATGATTTGAAAGAA